TTTATTTGGTGTGTTGAGGTTTTGGGAGTGTATAAATCCTTTTTGCCAGCAGGGGGAGATGTGCACAAAGCTTTCAGGTTAAAAACATCCATTTCTAAATTGGGACAAACCATAACAATACATATCAATGAACAAATCAGCATTTATTTATTTATTTATTTATTTATTTATTTATTTATTTATTTCCTACTAAAATTCTATTTATTTAGTGTATAGACCCATAATTTTATGCTGGATTTTTTTCAGCAACACAGCTTCAGTTTAACCTAGAAGTAAAAAAACAGTTATTTTAATAATTACTACAGCTTTTACAATAGACCTACAAAATGATATAAAGTTATAATTCGGTCATATAAAAGTGGTTTAAATGGTTAAATGAAAGATGACTCTATAGGGTCAAACAATATTTTTTCAAACTTTTTGTTTCCCTCTTGTGACCAAATCTGTAATCCCAAACAGACTTCTAAGGAAAAAATATTTGTAATCAAAAGAACATGTGTTTTTTTCCTCTATTTTTAAACACACAAACTCCTCCTTGAGTTTCCCCAAAAACTTTGTTCGGTTTTGTATGAGCAGCTGCCAAACACCTGATTTCTTCCAGATCATGTTGTTTTATTGGACACTCCTTAGTTTCAAGATAAATCCTTCCTTAGCCCACATGTTTTGTTGTAATGAGTGTAGGCCCATGTTGTTTTTCTGATAAGTAGGCCTAATCAGAAAATTTCCTTCCTTTCCTATTTTATTTTGTTTTACTCTTAGATCTGAGTAAAATCCCTTGATGCTGAAGTGTGGAAACCAACTTCATTATTTTTGAAATATTGATCCATCTCTGCATTCAGCCTTTGTGCAGACATTATTACAAGCCTCGGATTCTAGTAGATTTATCCATTTTAGAGATTAAAAACCACTTCTTGCTCTAAAAAAGGCCCAGTTAATGTTTTATTATTTCACTTGTGTTCTCTAACGGATTGGGTGGAGCACGGTTTGGAAACTACAAGCAGGGAGGCGAACCTCTCTGGGTCATAATAACAGCATTCAACCATTTCTGAGATGTGCTGAAAAGCCTCTGTTGAAGTTAGAATGAGACGGACGGGCGGCGGAGCCAATGGCGCGGCTCGCTTGGGAGCGACGTCACAGCGCGTGTCCAATGGGCTCCCTCGGTGGGCCGGGTCTCTCTCTCCCCCCTGCATTCTGATTGAATCGGTTCAGTTTATATTAGTTAGACGAGCCGAGTCGCAGCTCTGGGAGATGCCTGAAAGCCGTGACTGCGGATACGGCCGCTTCTGTCACGTCCGAGACGATTTAAAGCGCGCTGCGCAAAACCGCTCGGTTGTTTGAACCTCGCCGCGCTGCGTGAGCAGAGGAGAGATGCGTCGGACGTGTGCTGCGCAGGGACGTCTCAGCTGAACATGGATAAGCAGGGCGTCTGGTACAATGAAGAAGGCTCCTTCTTTTCTTGTTGTGAACGCGGGCCACACCGCCGAATCACTGCAGCGCCCGGTATGGACAACTTAAACGCTCCCATCACCCACCATTGCGCAGTGCAGTGAAAACTGTGGGCTAAATCGTGTTGTTGTTGTTTTTTTCCTGCTGCCGATTTGGAGGGGGATAGATTACCTAATCAGCTCCTTCTGTATTGGGCATAAAATCCCAGTACAGCTTGCATCCACACATCAGAGCGCCTTGGTGCATTGTGAATGTAAAGAGCTCTGTCCAGTGGTGGGAGCCACTCTCCTGTGGTACAGATGAGAGGCAAACAATACCATCAACCACTGAAGTTGACGGCACCTTGGGAGAAGGATGCTGGATTTGGGAGGAAGCTTAAAACCTACAGGAATCATACCAAGATAATAGCACAGCCTGGGATCGTGATGAAAGTCCTCCGCAGGAAAAGGATTGTGTTATTTATGGCCTATTTCCTCTTGCTGGTCCTCACTATGCTTAATTTTGCTAAATGGACTACGGAGCCACAGCAGTGCAACCATCAGATGAGGAGCACCACTTATCAGAGCAGATCGGACATTCGCTTCCTCTACAGGCCCTCTCTGGCTAAAAAGAGGCAGCTTATTTATGTCCTGACCACCTGGAGGTCAGGCTCATCCTTTTTCGGGGAGCTTTTCAACCAAAACCCTGAAATGTTCTTCTTGTACGAGCCCATGTGGCACATCTGGCAGAAACTGTATCCCGGTGATGCAGTGTCTTTACAAGGGGCGGCCAGAGACATGCTCAGCTCCTTGTACCGCTGTGATCTGTCTGTTTTCCAACTTTACAACAGCCCCGGAGGCAAGAATTTTACCTCCTTAGGACTATTTGGGGCCACCCTGAATAAAGTGGTGTGCTCCTACCCCCTCTGCTCAGCCTACAGGAAGGAGGTGGTGGGGCTGGTGGATGATAAGGTGTGTAAAAAGTGCCCCCCTCAAAGCCTTAGACTGTTGGAGGAGGAGTGCCTAAAATACAACACCATAGTCATTAAAGGAGTGCGTATTTTGGACGTGAACGTCCTGGCTCCTTTGATGGAGGATCCATCCTTGGATTTGAAAGTGATACATTTGGTCAGAGACCCACGGGCTGTTGCCAACTCCAGGATCAAATCCAGGCACGGTCTGATTAGGGAGAATTTACAGGTGGTCCGCAGCAGGGACCCTAAGCTTCGCCGGATACCTTTTGTGGATCCCGGCCACAAAGCGAACAAGAAGGACGGCTCTGACTATCACTCCATCGGAGCCATGGAGGTGATCTGCGACCGCACCTCCAGGACTTTAAGGACGGCTCTGAACCCACCCAGCTGGCTGAAGGGGAAATACATGGCTGTACGGTACGAAGACCTGGTCGAAAACCCCGTAAAGACCCTGCGGAGCATCTACCGCTTCGCTAACCACACGAACAACCACGACATCGAGCAGTTTGCGCTGAACATGACCAGCGGCTCCAGCTCGTCCTCAAAGCCATTCATAGTCTCCTCCAGGAACGCCACGCAGGCCGCTAGTGCGTGGAGAACAGTGCTGAGCATTCAACAGATCAAACAAGTGGAGGACTACTGCCATCACGCCATGTCTGTTCTAGGGTACAATAGAGTGAGAACAGCCGGAGAGGCCAAGGACTTGAGCAAATCTCTACTGACGCGCTCCAAATTGTGAACGAAACGAAACATCCTCACCACCAAAGACCTTTTAATTTAATGTTCATTTTTCATTGAGTGCCGTTTCCTCTTATTGTGGAATTAAAAGCTTTACTTTTAGTGTTCAAGGAGCTCCAATGGCCACATCTGGAATGTATCATGTTTTTTTTCCTAAGTCCAGCTGCAGTTGTATCCGAAGGGGTCAGTTTATTTTTTTTCTTCTTTACACTGGATATCTTTGACAATGCCAGGCTTTGAACTTGAACAGTGAAGCTGAAACTATGGGGGGAAGAAAAGAAATGTATATTTCATGTATCTTGTTATGATAACACTTGAAAGTGGATGTTTTGAAGTTATTTTTGAATGTTGAAAAAAAAAAAGTATTTTTCAGTCTCCATACCGTCTGTAAAAAGTAAAATCAGTGGATTAAAAAAAACAGCTCATGAAAAATGCCATTGCTAATGTTTATTTTTAAAGCTGTTTGAAGTTGGAGACAATCAATAATTTGGTTTGTTGATGTGCCATAGGTAGAGGTGTCATCAGAACAGCAGTAGTGATTTTTTTTTTCAATTTTGTATTTATTTTTTGTCAGAATCCTTGTGGGATGGTGATGATGTCATACACTGTGGTCCTAATTCTGGAGCTGAAACATCTCTGTGTGTCAGTGTGAGCAGTCTGTTCTACCATTTAAAATGTTTACAATTGCTTGCTCTTGTAAAAAAAAAAATCAAAGAAACAAAAACCCACACACAATCTGAGACAACTGCATTGAGTAAAGTTCACAGTAAAACAAGAGAGTTTGTGTATCATTGTTGAACAACACACATTGGGTTATAAAGTCACGATTAAAACCGGGGCAGCCGTTTACAAACTGCATGAGATTCATGACTTTTTATTTTTCTAATTTGTTTTTTTTACAGGGAACAATTGAGGTAGTTTTGTTAAACAACCTAATGTGGTCAATACTGAAATCACTTAACATCAAAGATGTTCCTTTCTTAACATTCTTCTGAGAACCACTGGGCCATTATTTGTTGGCATTTGCCACATAACTTTAAGGAATGAAGTTGTCTGGAAAACAAGCTCGTTGTTTACAGTCAGCATTACTCAGATCAAAGCTTGAAGATTATTTTTATCAAAAATTTTCTTACAGATTTCTTCCTGTGTGTACATGTGTGGTGGTGGTGGTGTGTGTATGGAAGCTGATTGTTATCTTTGTGCAAAACTGAACAATAAGCACATAGTATGCAAACATTTCTGCGTTGGCGCAGCTCCAAGTGAGGGATTAAATGCTGTTTAAAATTATTTTTAGTGGGAAAGAATAAATCCAGTAGTGAGATGCTGGAAATCTGCAGGCTACTTACCTACAAATAAATGGAGTGAAGGTAAGACCCTGATTACCTTCTGGCAATTTTCCTGTTCCCTGTTCTTGCTATCACAGTTGGGGGTAATCACTACGTACATTTCAGGTGATGCTATCAGCCAAAATGCATATAGTCGTGCACATGTCTGCCTGCTCCTAAAAATAAAACAAAATGAAAAATCACAGACACAACACCGCTTAAGGCCCTGTCACGCTAGACATGCCAACTTATGAAATATTTTTTTGTCTAAATTACTAATAAATTCTATATTTGATCAATTTGTTAGAATTACATTATGTACACACTGGAAAGAATCTTCCTGTTGATTTTTCAATTCTATCTTCACCATTGATGTATTTAAAATGTTCAAAAGTTGGCATAAGTTGTCTAGTGTGACAGGGCCTTTAACAAGACTGCATTCTCTGCAGAACAGCTTTAAAAACATAGATTTTAGAAGATGGCCATAAATACTGTATTAGTAAGTGGTTTTCAAACCCAGAAATAGTTTATTTCTTTCTAATCAATCTTTCTTATATACAAAACAAAAATGAAGAAAACATGTATAAAATATATTAAAGGCCCAGTATTTCCCAACAGAAAACGTGTTGTATGACTCTCAACACTCAGTGTCTCATTATCTGTAAACTTTTGCCACTCAACATATGAACACACACAGACCTGTGCAAAAATGTCTCTCGCCTTTTAACGGCAGGTGATAAACAGTTAAGGTAGTTTTATTTGTGGTTTTTCCAGAGTTTAAACTTGTATGTGTTGAACTCAACAGGCAGCAAGTTAAAAAAAAAAAAGAGAAGAAATGTTAACGGTAAGAAGTTGAAACAACCTTGTCTAGAGTAGCTTCTTCCTCCTCTGGAGAAATAAATATCATCCCTTGTGAATTAAAAAAAAAAAGAAACAAAAAATACCTTAAAAATAAACCTTGTATTTTATTAAATGCAACAAACAGGTGTGCGAGGTAAAATAATAATTTTAAAAAATGTTACAGCTAAAATTGCATTCCAAAGCAAATGCATTGCATCATGATTATTTACAAATCACACAAAAACAAGAAAATCTGCAACTAAATCACATTTAGACAGTACTTCTGAAAAAAAAAACTGTCAAATTAAGGATCTTCATCTGACAACTTGTAATTTGTCTCTTACCTCACTGAATACAGCAAACAACAGATTATTTCTATCTACAGAAACAGAAAGCTAACAGAGAAAACAGCATTCCATAGATGCACTCATTCAATAATGACACGATGCAAGCAGATCGTACTGTGAGGACAGTGGCTGCACTAACAATACAAAACGCGTCTGGGTGTTCACAGAGCCTAACCTTCAAAGATGGTGTTTGTGCAGCACATACCACTCTGCCTCACTCCAGGGGATAAAAAAAAGTGTGTGTGTGTGTGTG